ATTATCTGTAAAAATTTTATTACCTGTATCAATATTACCACAATTTTCAATTGATAACAAAAACAAAAATTAGATAGAACGTGTCTATTAGTTGTTGTAAAAAGACTTCTTTTGTAATTGAAAAAAAACTTTATTAAAAACGCGTTACTTAAAAATTTTGAGAAGTTTTAGCGCTTGCGTGATTTAACTGATTTTTTTTTTATTTCTGTATATTTTTTGGACGAAAAAATTATTGGACGCGAAAAAGACGTTCAAAAGACCTTTAGAATTTTAATGGGACGGACGGACGCGATTTGAACGTCCTAAGGACGTCTTTTTTACGTCCTGTGCCCACTGGGTTATTATCTAATGTATATTAAAACTAAAATACTTGTAGTTAACCAAATAAAAATTAAAAAATCAAAGTGGTTCACTTGACAATCGTGCTATACAAGTTATGTAAAGTAAGCAAAGCTATTGGCAATAGCTAGAATAAGATAAATATACGCATTTTATAATGCATTATAATATGATAATATCCAGAGACGTAAAGACAGTTAAGGCCAAGACCAAGACTAAGACTAAGATATTATGACTCAATATCACGGCTAAGACCGAGGCTCAAAGCTTCAAGATCAAGATAGTTAACTGTAAATCTCGAGACGTCTTGGGACCAAAATTTAAGTCTCGAGACCAACATCTCTTATATCATAGTATGATGCACTATAAAATGCATACATTTATCATATTCTAGCAATTGCAAGTATGTCTAGTTGCTTATGTCTGTATGTTTATTTTCAATTATATTAAATATTATAAAAAACAAACAATTTATAATCATTAAATACAGAAAAACAAAAAAATAAAGAAAAATGCAAAAATCATTATTTTCTCAAGTTACAAATGATTGTTACTCTTTGAGTTACGACATTTTTAAACGCGCATTTGCAAAACCGATGGTGAAACATGAAATATGTATAAAAAAAAAAACTAAGGTTCACCCATGGAAATTTCATGGGATTTTAATTATCATGGAAATTCCCCCATGGAAGTTACATGAAATTTCTATTTCCATGGGTTTATTCATAGAATTCTATGGGATTTCTATAGCATACATATGGAATTCCATGGAATATTTCTGTTAGGGAAACCCTTAGGAAACCAAACAATAATTTTGAGATACATGATGCATTAAACAAAAGTTCAAAGATGATACAACATTTTTATTATTATTACAACTGTCTGCGATAGGTTTATTTCATCGTAGATATGTAGCTAACTAAAACATAGCGACAAAGTTAGTCGATGCCATGTTGTAGCTTTTTAGCTAGCAAAATTGTTTCGATATATCAACAGCTACATATTGTAGCTTTATCGCTAACTACTGCATAACAACAATTCTTCAGCTACTAAGTGACTATACCCACCTATTGCTATTAACGATATGTATAGACATATCGCGGGTTTTAGCTAGCGATTTTAAAACAATATGGTGACAGCTACGTATGGTAGCTTTGTACCTTGCTAAAAGATAACTATAAATCTTTAGGTAGTCGAGCGCTTGCTTTAGGAGCAAGAGATCTTGGGAGCTCTCATATTTCGCGCCATTGGTAAGGAAGAAGGTGTGAGCTTCCTTTTTAAATGCTCTTCCGCGGTGCTCTGTGACAAGACCGTTAGGTCTTCTTAAGGTAGCTAAAAAAAGATGCTGTTAACATTAGATAAAACTACAAAAATAATAAAAAAAAATTTTAAATTATAAAGATGCAAGGAATACTTAAAAATCATTAAATGTGTTAACTCTGTTGATACGTTTGGTGATTTGCGACGTATGTTGACTCAACAGTCTTAAACCATTAAAATTGTTATAAAAACAATCAAACTTATATTATATACAGGACCACCAAGCTGTCACGCCGCCTAGGCCAGCAATCCTGATTGACGCCCTTATTTATCAAATTTTCCCTATATTATATATGAAGGACCTTTTTTTTTTTTAAGGTACCTACATTTCATTTGGCGCCCCTATCTGCCGCCCGGGACAAACTGTCCCGGTGCCCCCCTCTCGGCGGCCCTGATTATACACCATTGATAGTATATAGAAACAACAAAAAAGTTTTTTTTAGCCCTTGATAATATAGATAAAATTTATGAAAAAATATTAAAAAAATAAAAATAAAAAAAGGCCCTCATTTTAAGGTTTTTCGCCTCTATGTTTCCGTTTGATTTATCAAACTCAAGATATTTTTATTTGATTATATTTGAATAGTTAAAAATATTTTAATACTGTTACATATAGAATAAAAATATGACGAAACATTTAAGAAATGAAAGAAATCTTATATTCGTTGGTTTGTTTGAAAACTTTTTTTCTTCAGAAGAAAAAAGTTTTTTTACTCCAAAATACGGTTGTTGTACGGTTTTGCGGAAAATACGCAGTACAAATACAAATTCCACATGGAAAGCGTAGAGAATGTAAACAGAATAAATGGCAGATAAAATCGATTTACAATCTTCTGAGAAGGTTTAGTTTTATAATGTTTTACATTATATAAAAGATACAGTGTTTACCAAATTTTTTATAACGAAATAAACACTTTTATAAGAACCAAAAATAACTGAACATGATGTAGAGTTTGTTGAATTATTTTGTGTTTTTTGATTGTACCATTTTTGAGACTTCAACGTTGTTGAAGGCTGAAATATTTTAGTAATGAAATTTCTACTTTAAGTGTTGTAAGAAAACTAGAAGTTCTGCAGGTTTTGTATGAAAATATTAATAATTTGTTTTGTTCGATGCAACCTAAATTAGTACATTTTATAAAATTACAAATGATCAAAAAATGTTTTAAAAATTTGCTTATACTTAGGTCGTTAGAGAAGCTCGTATAACTTCATCTATAAAGTTACAATAAGGCAGGAATTTAGTTAAATATTTATATATCATCTTAAACTATGTTTAATTATAAACATTTTAAGTACTTGTTGAAATATTTTGAATGTTTATTTAAAAAGTTATTTAAATTTTATCATATACATTTAAAAAAAAAAATTCAAAAAGGAAAAACTTGGATATCGAGCATATATTAAAACCCGTGCTCTATTTGGAGTTTCAGCACAAGCCATAACCGATGAATTGGTTTTAGTTCATGGTGACCAAGCTCCAAAATATAGTACAGTTGCCAAGAGGGCTAATTTATTTAAAGATGATAGAGAGTCTTGAAAACGATCCTCTCTCAGGGGACCTTCAAACCACATATACAGCTGAGAATATTGAACGTGTGAGAGCCATTATTGAAGAAAATCCGCATGCAACACATGATATAATTGAAGCCCTGACATCAATTGATTGTTTTACAATCATCGAAATTATTCAAAACTTACTTATAAAAAGAAAACTAATATCACGTTGGATACCCCACAAGTTAACCAATCAAAATCAAAAGAATAAAGTTAAGGCATGTAAGGAAAATTTAGCCCTTTTCAGAAATGGCCCATGGAGGCTATGTGATATTGTTACAGGGGATGAGTCGCGGTTTTATTTGAGACAAGTTGGACACAAGTCAGCTAACGCTAGTTGGGTCAGTGAAGGTGAAAGTCAACTATAGTAAGATGCGATAGGTTTCAGCCGAAAAGCATGTTTTACATCTTCTTCAAAATAACAGGTGTTGTTCATTTGGGTTGTGTTGAAAAGGGAGACACTATTACTAGCGAATATTATATAAAAAATTGTTTGAAAGCTCATATGCGAAATCAATAAGCAGAGACCTAAAACAGGCACTCACAATTTCAAATTTCTCCATGATAATGCTCGACCCCATGTAACTCAAACCACCACAAATTTTCTAAACCAAGCTGGAATTACAATAATTTGCCACTCACCATACTCACCAGACTTAGCTCCATTCGATTATTGGCTATTCGACTTGATAAAAAAAAATCTTGATGACAATACTGGCGTTGAAAGCTAAAAGACTCACATAATGAAGCTTTTTGAAAGTATACTCAAAAAAGATTATAAAAAAACGTTTTACAAATGGCTTGAAAGGATGCAACTTTGTATAGATAATGATGGACATTATTTTAAACATTTAATAAAATAAAAAAAAAGAAAATCTTTTTTTTTTTTTTTTTTATGGGAGTTTTACGAACTTTCCTAACGACCTAAGTATCTTTTTACAATTACTTTATACTTATCTTATATCCTTTTACTATTTTTTATAAAGTTGGAGCCTCTAGGCTGCTGGCATTAGTTGTTATATTATATAAGTATTAGTGCTATTGTATAAACTGTTCTTTCCTATTTGTAAAAAATATTTTTCTACTCTTCTTAATGCTAATCTTTTTGGCTAATCTTTTATGGTAATCCTAATCTCTTTGGATAAAATCCTGCCAATAGATTCCAGTCTTATAGATGTTGATATCTGGTATGATCAGTAATAAGATTTTCTTTAAAAAGAGATAAATAAAAGGCTGATATTAAAAAGTCTAAAGTGGTCGATAATAAAAATGGATGATAATATAAAGTGATTGATAATCATCTGAGAGGCGCACCTTTAAAAACTTAATTTCAAAATCTGGATTGATTTTTAATGTTTTCAATATTTAGAACTACATAAAAACAACCTTTAAGGAATAAATGAAACAAGTGTTAGTTATATTAAGAATTTATTTTCTTTATTTTTGTTTCCTGTTATGAATCACTTTTTTTTCCCACTAAATGTTATTAATGTTATCAAAATCTCCAGTTTTCATTCTTGAAAATAAGCTTTTGAAGTAAACAGTTTTCTATTTTTGCAAGATTCGCATCTTTTTATATTTATATTTTTCAGGAATGGAAAAACAAAAAAAAATTCAAATATTTAACTGCAAACAGAAAAAGTTTCTACTTTCATGAAATCAAGGAACTTTTTTGCTTTTTACACCTAAAAATATTCATGTTTTTTGTGAATTAAAAATAAATATCTAAATTGACAAATATGGAAAACAGCTTCAAATGATAATTTATTATTGATAAAATTAATTCCTAAAAATAACTTGCATATTTATAGAAAATGTTTAATTTTGATGTTGCTATAAATAAAATATTTTTTTAATATGTTTTTTTTTTTTGCAATCTTCACATGTTTTTTTAGTAACTTTTTTTTTAACTTACATTCTTTCTTTGGGTCTAAATTTTTGAAATGAGACGCTTTATATTGATATCAAAGATTATGCTTGAGTCAAATTTTATGTTTCAGTTCTTCATTCATCCATAGTGACCTTTTAATTGACAGCTTTTAATTGTTCTTTGATTAAACTACGGTATAAAATCATCGCAAGCAAATTTTTCTAAATTTTTTGTAACAATGATCTATATAAAGTTCATAAAACTTGAAATTAAAAGTATTTTGATATTTTGGAAATTTATTTTGATTTCTTTTCATGAATGCTTAATTCATAGTATTATATTTTCATTTTTGGTTGTATTATGTGCTTAATAACTAAAGTTAAAACTTAAAACATGATTACCTCTTTTTGTTTTTTGCAATGTATCAAGCTAGATATATGAAAAGAAGAGGCTGTAAACACCAAATCTAATTTATTTGTTAATTTTATGTCATTTAATTGAAATGTTGTCAACAAATTGTCACTACAATTTGTAATTCACTCTCTCCTAAATTTTTTTAATGATTTTAAATATAATAATATTGGTCGGTTCACTTTGTTATAATTTAATTTATTGCATATATATTAAGATGAGTTTTTAGTCAAATTTGCCACTCAAAACCATTAAACTGAATTTTAGATCTGTACCAAGAGATATTAGAAAGAGTTCAAAGCCACTACTAAGAATGCACAAGCAAAAACTTATCATCATCCTAGGCTGAAAACAATATAAGACAAGTTTACATTTACTCCAGTCCATAAGACAAAGAAGGGGTGTTAGGCTAGTCATTAGAAACTTTCTGCTTATTCCTATTGTTTTTCTCTCATTCTACAAGACAGTAATTAGCTGCAGTTAACATCTATTTAAAATGAATATTTTTATTGAGACACCACCTAGCCTTAGCTCATCCAAGTGCATTATGTCACTTAGATGAGCTAATACTTGGGCTATTTTAAGTCAGAGTTAACTTTGTTAAACCTTTACCTAGCAGAGTGAATCCTACAGGGTAGCAGACATTAGTCAGGTTGTATTGAGTTGTATGTTACCAGTAGCAGGCTGATTTGTGATGATTCTAATCTTGACCAGAATAGTAAATAACAGTAAGATACTACTACAGGCTTCATTAATTGTATTGTTGTTTTCCCTTAACATTGTATCTTTTTTGATAATGAGTCCATTGATAGTTTTCTATATATTTCAACAATCAATAATTTGGCAATAATCAAAAAATTCTTCCTAATTGCCTTTGTTTTTAGGAAAGAAAAAAATAAATTTGTCATAAGATGTAAAAAAACACATCTTAATTGCAGTATAAGAGTTTCTTTGTTGCAAAGTAAAAAGTTACAATTTCATTGTCTCAATTAAAATTTGAAAGTAGAAAATGTTGTAATTTTTTATTTATTAAAAAGTTTTGCTAATTATTTTAAAAGGTTTTTTTAAAATAAAAATATTTTTTTATTAAAAGTATTTATTTAATCAGGTACATATTAGTAAGTGATGGTAGTTAATATTTGACTGAGGCTGGGGACAGGTTTGATAAAATGTAGCTGGGGTCAGATCCATGGCCAAGTTTGTGACTGGGGTTGCATAAATATTTATACATCCTAAAGTATATAATGATCAACATCACCACGATCATCATGATCATCATCACCATGATCATCATCATCATCAGGCTTTAGCCTTGCTCTTTTATGCTGTTTCTTTAATATAAACAATCTAGAGCATTTTCTTTCTTTTACTTAAGCTCATTCATACAATATCTAAGGCAGCTAAAGCTTATGCATACAATATCTAAGGCTCTTGAAGTTTTCTTACTTTTACAACTACCATTTTTTCCTCTGCTACCTCTCTATATGCTGATACCTATATTACTTTAATTTTCTCTAACAAATGTTGTTCGATACAACATTTTTTTCTAATCTGTCTAAGATTATGCCTTCTTTTCTTGTCTTATTAGAGTCACACCACACATCCATCTGATCATCTTCTCCTTCGGCAAACACTACACCATATAAATATTAATGTTCATTTAAATTAGTAAGAATATTGTATGCCAACATCTAAAAAAATAGTAAACATGTTTATATCCATAATATGTATACATAAAGTGCATCTTGGAAGCTTTTATTCCTTCTGGAATAAAAGTTTGGAAGCTTTTATTCCTTCTCTATTTTTAGTCAAGCCTCATTCTACTCCACATTTCTCACTATCTTGAGCAGTTGCTTTATTAAACAGTAATCTTTTTTACAAGAACTTCTCATATAAGAACAAATGTCTTTTAATATTCCAAGAAGTCAATGTAAAAAGTCCTGTCTGATGTTAAGTTCTGTTATTCTCAGTTTACTAAATATTGTATCTTTTTTCAAATGTTA